ATTATTGTACGTTGATGACATGCTCGTTGCAGGCTCAGACATGCAAGAGATTATAAACTGTAAGTACACCTTTAGGTGTTCATTTCAGACTCTCCAAATAACAATCACCAAAGACGGAGGAAGAACATGCACACATGATGAAGATGTCGTATGCCTCAGCAATCGGAAGTCTGATATATGTCATGGTTTGTACCAGACCAGATATTGCTCATGCAGTGGGAGTTGTTAGCAGGTACATGAATAATCCGGGCAAGGTACACTGGGAAGCAGTCAAATGGATCCTTAGATATCTGCGAGGTACCACAAACAAAGCACTTTGTTTCAAAGTTGGAGATACGATACTGACAGGCTATGCAGACGCTGACTTAGCCGGGAATGTTGACATCAGAAAGAGCACTACATGGTATGTCCATACTCTAGGAGGAACCTCAGTGAGTTGGATTTCTCAACTACAAAATATAGTTGCTCTCTCCACAACTGAAGCAGAATATGTCGCTGTTACGGAAGCCAGCAAAAAGATGGTTCCGTCTTTTCATTCCAGGACGAAACACATACAATTGCGATATCATTTTATTCGGTCTCTTCTGGAAGATGGGATTTTGAAACTTGAAAAGATTAGTGGAGCTCAAAATTCGGCAGACATGTTAACAAAGATGGTGACTACAGACAAACTGAAGTTGTGTTCAACTTCAGTTGACATGCTAGAATAACAAGATTAGAAATAATGTTGCATTGATCGAGGTGTGAAGACAAATTAAAATCAGTCTTCAAGTGGGAGATTGTTGGAGAAAAGTCAAAGAAAATGTCTAGCAGCCGGTGGCTTAGACATTCAATATGGGGCGGCTGGAAAAACAATAAATGGGCATTGTAACTTTAGTCATTGTAATTTTTAGGGTATTTACAAGATTAGTCCCTAAGCTTCAACTATAAATACCCTAACCCATTTAGCTTTAAAATCATCCCAAAATCCCAAATCATTTTATTTCTCCCAATACTAGAGAGCTTTCTTGTGAGTAGTGAGTGTTTTGTAAATACCTGTAAATTTTATCTCTTAGTAAAATATCTGCAGCAATCTGGAGACGTAAGCAAAATTCGGTAAACTCCGTTATCAATTTCGAGTATTATTTTTCCGATTTTATTTCGTATTCTTACTAATCTGGTTATAGAGAAATTTATCGTACTCATTTATTTCTCAACATAATGAACCTTCCGAGGTGTCCATCAGGAGCGAGTTTCAATAGATTAAGCCTCTCCACGTTGGCAACCTCGACTCCAGGAATGTTACGGAAAGCCTTAACGAGCTTTTCGCCCTCATTTCTGTAACATCGGGATATGCTCCGACCTGTTTCAAAACCTTAATTGCAGAAAGAGTTTTCTCAACGCTCTCCACGGCATCAGATATGACCAAATGCATCTCAGGGACAGCCTCGATGCGGTGACCACGTGCCATGACGAGAGAGGTAACGGCAGAGGCGGCAATGGCCGATGCAACGGCAATAGTGCTTCTGATTAACGTTGATTTTCCGGTGCCAACGGCGCCAAATCTTGGTGGGAGCAAACATGCAGCCTCCACGACACATGTTTCCAAAAGTACCTTGGCCGGCACGGTGAGTACCTCCTCCGGGAACCCGAGGAATACGTGAGACAACACGTCCTGTACCCAGGATTCAGCGGAGGTCTGGTGACGGCGCGTTTGGATACAACGTAGGGCTGGCGACGGTTTTTTGGAGATGTTATCGTGGACGAAGGTAAAAATGTCAGGTCGGATTGAGGCTTTCATGACATCAGCGAGCGAAACGGTTGGGCTGGCGTCAGTGGCCATGTCGGACTCTATTGTTTGGACGGAGACCAGAGGGCGAGCAGCGGCGGCTGCCATTTTTTTAGGGTTTTGGCTTTTTACTTAAGAGAGGGGGCAAAAAATGAACTTAAAATGATAGCTATATACGAAGAGATACGCTAGGGTTTTGAGTTTGCAGCGTGGATATTTTATTTTGTTTTTGTTTTTAATTTAAAGCAAATATAATGTGATATATAACTCATACTTTTTTAACAATTAAACGTTTAGACTTGTGAGATTTATGATGTTCAAATTTCTGACATTCCGTGTGATGTTTAGAAATGGTAAAATGTTTAAAATAATATTAAACTAGCTCTTGAGGGTGCAAGTCCAGAAGGTGGTGTGCTTTACTCAGGAAAAACTGCAGGGCAGATCGATCAGCACGGGGGTTCTCTAAATGACGAACCACATTCAAAGAATCACTCTTCACCACGGCAACCGGTAGCTCCATTTTCACAGTCAGTCTGACACTATGACAAATAGCCAACGCTTCAATAATATTGGCCATATGATGCTCGGGGGTGTAGGGAGGGCGCGGCCAGCACAACCTGACCTTCGCTATCGTGTAGAAGAACCCCAATAGTCGGGGTTACAGTGGTTGAGGGGTAGGCACCATTAACATTAATCTTAAACATATCCGTCGGGGGCTTCAACCATTCGTGGGCACGTAAATCAGAACTCAACACAGCATATGATGAAGTCACTGCGGAGGAATAAGCCGCTTGCAATGCCTTCCCCGACGCAATAAGCTGCTATCCTAGTAGGAGTTGGCCTTTATGGAAGAAAAGTTTCCAGCGATGTCATATTTTCCAAAACAACACCAAAAGAGAGATGAGATCAGGGACAATGAACATAGCAATCAAATATTCTAGCCAAACACCAAAAGAGAAAAAGAATGCCTGGTCATCCATTGAGGGGCAACCGACTGTAGTAAGGTTAATTAGGGTAAAGTTATGGAGAATCGAGAGCACAATAAAAATAATTTTCAAATTAAAAAAAGTTAATTTTTTTATAAAAAAAAATCATACATGATATGTATAGTGTGTTAGTATAAGCATAGTTAAATAGTAACAATGAACAAATATGAATTTTATCTTTAATCACTCAATATTAAAATATTATATTTAATTATTTAAAAAAATATTTAATCAATATTAAAAATCACATATTAATTAAATATTGATTTTTCACCTTTAAATATAGGATAAATTACAATTTTAGTATTTAAATTATCAATTTTGTTTTAACACCTAACCTTTCATTTGTTTCAAAACTATACCTAACATTTACTTTTTGTTTCGTTTTAGTACTTCGTCGTTAAAAACGTAACGAAATTGTTACAACATTGTACTTTTTTTTGGGTAAATTACATCATTCATCACTCTACTATCTCCTCAATCCAATTTTGGTCATTGAAGTTTATTTTTTCTAATTTAATTACTTAACTTTCAAACTACTCATAATTTAATCATTCTAACTTTTAAATTTAATTTCTATTTTAACTATATATTAATAAAATCATAAAAAATATCATTTCATAAATTGTTATTAATAAAATAAATTAAAGTGATTAAAATATAAACATTTTAAAAGTTTAAAAAAATTTAAAATAGTGAGGTATAAAACCCGAAAGTAGGCCTGTAAATGAACTGAACGTTCAGTGAACCGTTCATTAACCGTGCGACGGGAAGTTCGTTTATGTGCATTTATTTATTAAATGAACGAATATGAACAAGATTTTATGTTCGTTTAATTAAATAAACGAACACGAACATAGGTCTCGTTAGTTCATTTACGTTCGTGAACGTTCGTTTATGTTCGTTCGGTTATGTTCGTTTATGTTCGTTCATTTATGTTTAACCCAATCTTCTTAAATCAATTTTGGTGACCAATTTGTAAGTATCTTAAAAATATTAATTAATCTGATATTCTGATGACCAACTCCATAATTAACCCAATTTTATTTGGAGATTAAATCCAATATGTTAACCCGTGAGGTACCTCGCACCTATATTCATTTTCCCCTTTTTTACCAAATCCTAGTATTCACTGGAGAGTGGAGACGATCGGTGAAAGCTTCAAAACAAGTTATATTATAGTGCAATATGAAGTTTTACAGGTCTGTTTTCATCTATTTCTCTATTTTATTTGGCTTAATAGTTGATATGTAAAGTTATTGTGGGTATCTTCACATCTAAAACTCAAGAAAACATCATACTTCTTTCTAGAAATAGATAGAAAGATAAAGGTAACAATCGGAAGTATATGAACATCAGTAGAGAGAAAATATATAGAATTTGTCAGAAAACAAAACAAATGTTTTTATGCAAATTCTGAAAAATAGTGTAATAGCGAAAGTAATAAGTTTTCCAGGAAGAACTCATTAATAAGTAGAAAATACACTTTGACAATGAATTTTTGAATGGTGATTTAGCAATAATATCAGTTAGATATGTAGCATCGGAGGGATTTTGGATCTATGTTATTGTCTTGTAGTCCAATTTGTACCGTTCGAAATCTTCATGCTGTTAAATTTTCTACTTTGCCAATGGAAATGACCATTATTAACAAATCTCACTAAAATCTGACATTGATGTCACAAAACTTTTAGCCTGCGAATTTATTAGAATAACGTAGTGGAAAATGATTGTTCATATGTAATCATGGACCACTAAGATAAATGTTATAGTGTTAAATTAAAGTCGTGTGAATCATTTAATATCTTTAAAAAATCGATCGAAATATTTGATATCTTCAAACATTTCATCACTGCTAATCAGCTCTTACGCTATTTATCACTGTAGATTTGGTTGATTTGCATTGTCGACTATTTTTCATGAAAGAACAATGGAAGGTAGAGTCTCGAACGTTTATATTCGTGTTCGTTTATGTTCGTGTTCGTTTATTTATTAAATGAACGAACATGAACAACCTATATTTCTTAATGAACGAACATTAACAAAAAAAATTGTTCATTTATGTTCGAGTTCGTTTATGTTCGTTTATTTATTAAATGAACGAACATGAATATACATCCGTTCGTGTACGTTCGGTTCATTTACAGGCCTACCCGAAAGAGAAAAAATCTATATTAATTATTCAACTTTGAAATTGTTCATGAATTAATATTAATATTTGTTCCTTTTACGGAAATAACCCGAAAGAGAAAAACCCTTCACGCCCTATTATTCCTTTGATACAGACATGAATTCTTAACCAGCGAGTAAAAGAAAAGGGATCGTCGCATCGATCTCGTAGGCTTCGTCTCGTATTTTCACGCAATCATACCTACCATTTCGATGGCAACAGCCGCTGACAAACCCGTCGCCACCGCCCCTCCAGCATCCGTCGTCTATTCATCGGCTGAACCGAACTCTAAGCACATCGTGGACCCTGCTCCACCTTCCACGGACAAGTTAGATCCTCCTAACTCTGATACTCCCGCTTCTGAAGTATCTCTTAAGGAGAGCGAGGGTTCGCAGACCAGCGGGACTATTGTGAGCTCGGTCGCCAACGGTGGCAGCGGTCCCGTTAACGATATCCAGAAGAAGATTCGCCGAGCTGAGCGGTTCGGCCTACCGTTTCAGTTGTCTGAGCAAGAGAAACGTAATTCTAGGGCTGAGAGGTAACTGCTTTTATTCCCCTATCTCCGTACGTAAAATTTGGGGTTTATCGGGCATTTAGTTTTTTTATTTTTATTTTTTGGTGTATACCTAGTAGATGGGGATTTCCATGGACAATAGAAGAAATTGAGTATTCTATGTTGATTGGTTTCTGGAAACGTCTATTTTCATCATTTTCTTTCAATGCCATGCTTGATTTTTGATGTGCTGAGAAGCATAGATTATTTTAATTGAATTCATTTACCAAGTATTTTAACGTTCTACATTGTTTAGAATCTCTTAACAGCTCGTAATTGTCAAGATTATATTGTCTTAGATTTAATCAACTTATTCGGTGGTTTCCTAAAATGAGTCTAACCCAATGTTACCAGCTACTCATGTGAAACCTAATTTTATAGGGGCAGTCTTCTGTGGTTTGTATAGAAGGAACACATTTATTGGAATGTAAAGTGATTTTTAAAACTTACATTACATTTATAGCTTTTATGCTTATATAAATACGTAATTCTAAATATATAAATTGTGAACTTTGTTAATTGTTTGTTTTACTCAATAATTTTATAAGAAACTATATGTTAATGGGATCACTCGTCTTACTTATTTGAAAATTGCTGTGGAGATGGTGATTTCACGTAACATAGATCTAACCCATCAGAGTCTAACCTATTTTCTAATCATGCTGTTTGGCTGGGATAACTTGGCTAGGTAAGGTGATTCTTAGTTTTATATGATTAGAGAGATATTTTTTGGCTCCTCAAAATGTTGCACTTGAAGGGTTTCTGTTGTTGGTAAAGCTGTAGTTGTGGGTGTTGAGCTTCATTTCTCTTCACTTTTTTCCCCTTTTGTGTTTCTAACTTGTTGAGGTTGGAAATCATGTTGCAGGTTTGGTGCTGCACCCGGCACGAATGGATCAGAAGCATCTAAGCAATCGGAGGACCTAAAGAGGAAAGCCAGAGCAGAGAGGTTTTTCCTATACCACCTTACCCCCGGTGAATATGGCTTGCAGTTTCATTTATTCAGCTTGTTATATCTATTGTGGTTTCTCAGGTTTGGGCTCTCTGTACCCTCTATGGCTGCTGACGAGGAGGCCAAAAAGAAAGCACGTCTTGCCAGATTCGGACCAGAATCTAAACCGGATAATTTAGAAGAGGAAAAACGAAAAGCAAGGGCACTCAGGTATGTTGCTATTCTGAAAAGCAGTTTTGGTATATATATATATATAAACGCCTCTTTAGGCTTTAATTAATTGTTTCTCTGGAAGATTGATAACATAGGAGAACATTAAGGGTTTATAGGGTACTATATAGTATATTGATTTCTCTACCAATTTTTGGCAGGAGGCTTCTATTGCTGGAAAGGCTGGTGGAGGACCCTGAATACAAGTTTCATACATAGTTAGAAGGTGACTTTGGAGATATAAATCTTTTATCTTCTATATACATAATTACATACAGCTATATCCTCAAATATAGTTGTTTAAGTAGATCCATTCAATTACTTATTCTTTGCATTATCTTTTCTTTTCAGGTCTATTAGTGTCCTAACGTTTTGTGATTCCCTCAGCAGCTTCTTTACAATGTTTTCCTTCCAACCTCAGAATTCTTACATGCAGAACTCCTTTATCCTTTAGGGGAATCAACTATCACCTGTAGTGTTAACCTATCTCAAATCCTACAAAGAGCATTAAAAATTCTGGTGTAGGGTAGAAAATTTCAACATTTCCCTTTTGATAAGTAGTTGAGAAAGCACGGAGTAAGTAACTTCTTCAATGATTGATTTGTTCCCTTCCTGTGGTGATATTTTGGTAGAGCATCTTATACTGTATCAGTTGAATAGTATGACCAAGTGTGAGACAGCAGTAGTATTCATATTGTGTCTGTCTATTTTTATGGGTTAAAGAACCTAAAGTATTAGATAATACATGCTTCATGGGAATTCTTGCGACTTATCTTTTTCATAAATAGCCTTGGTTTTTATATGTTTGTGATAGGGTCATAGGTCTTTTTTTTTTTTTTGGAGTGGAGCTCTAGCTGTAGGACAAACGATACACATAAATGCCTTTGATTTGAGCAAAAACAAGGATAACGTTTTCTGTGTTTACATTAAAAAGTGATTAGAAAAGCTTGATTGAGGGAATTTGTGAGAGGCTTATGTTTAGATCGTTTTGTTCATTTAATCACTGAATGTTGTCATAAACAGAAATAGATTAATTTTTTGGATATGTGTACGGGCATGCATATTTACTAATGCACACATTTGCTGGTTTGTATACATATGTTTGCATGGGTATCTGCGCATGATACTCATGGCTCAAATGGAATTAATCCAACTTTATTAGTTAATTATCTTTCTATGAGAAATGACCAACGCAATGCTGTTGTGGATATGATACTACTGCTGTTCATCATTTGATCATGAGAGGTATACTGAAAACTGGGAATAGTTTTTATAAAAGATTAAATGTGGGGAACATTTTCAATCATTGATGAGATTACTTGAATCGAAAAGCCAACACCTTTTTCTGAGTCCTTTCCTTCAGAATTTCTTTTTTCTGGTACTTGAGATAACTGACACTACCTCACTTGAAGGTGATTGCTAGCTTCCCTTTGGTCTCACCAGGTGAATTTGCTGATCAACCCTAGAAGGTAATTGTTTTGGGAATGAAGTTTGTTAATGTTTCCTGAGTTTGTTTTATGGTTTATGTAACTTTTCTTTTTTCGTGTAAAGATGAAGTGTTGGTAACAAATTGACAGTAATTAGTTTCGTTGGAATTTGTTTTTTGGTTGGAAATATTTGTATGGAAGACCGGTTGAACATTGAGGGAGTCACAAAATCTTACATTATTTACTTTAAAGCTTTGGATTGACAGTATCTCAGTTTATATTGTTTTTAATTCACAAGTATTATAGTTTAATTTATATATATATATATATATGCAACTATATCTTTCTTACATAGTGTAACTATGTATTATAGTTTACTTTTTAGTTTTGTTTTAATAGAAGCTTATATTTTCAAATTTATAATAGTATATGTAAATGTAAAACATAAAATCATTAATAAGGTCCCCAAGTACACCTAATAGTTTACAGTGTATTTCTAATGCCATCTTAAGTTTTGGCCACCGAGTGTACTTACACAATTTAGTGGGGTACATTAATGATTGGTTTTGAAGGTTATTATGGCAAAGATCTTTTAATTTTCGAACCTCTATAGGAATGTTTAGTTCACATTTTTTATATGATTAATTACATTCATCTTTTGAAATGATGGCTTAAATCAAAATTCAATTCTTGTCTTTAAAATCTTGTACCAATTTATATGGATTTATATGTATCGGCAATATTTATCAAAAACTTCAACTTTGTATGCCGATCTAAAATCAAAATGATACATTTCGGCCGGTGCGAGATCATCAACCATATTAATATAAACGCCTTTCTTTTTTGCTAAGCATAGATAGCTTCTGTTTAAACTTTGTTGCTTCATCATTATTGAGCGGTAGAAGCAATCTGTCCTATTATAATAAAAACACACGCAAATGAAAATTTACCCTAAAGAAGTGCGTGCTTTTTCGTAACCGAATCACAGTGCAAAAGTAGCAAAGCGAATGCTTGTTGATCTCTGTTATCATTATCTTGTTTTGCCAAAAGGTACTTTTATCTTTGTTTTTTCACTTTGAAATCAATATAGTTTTTAATTGGTTGTGTTGAATCTCATGTTAGATGTTGAAATTAGGAAACAAAATGATCGAATTTGATGGTAAATGAAGGAGAAACGCTGGCCTTGAACCCTAACAAACATGGCAAAGAGGCTCCTACGAGGACATCTTCATTTCAAAGTGTGAAGTACCCTGAAATTGATGGTTAAATGGGAGAGCTTTGTTATAAAGGAAATGTAGCTCAGTGTTCTTATATTTCGAGTGAATCTAATTATGCAACAGCGGGCACAAGTGGCGGCAAGTAAATCGCAGACGGTGGAAAGCATATCGAGAGAGAGATAAAACCAGCTAAATACATCTCTGTTGTATTAAGTTATAAAATTCATTAAATGATTTCAATAATAAAAAAAATATCATTCTGAAAAAAATTGAAGTTTGAGAAATTGTATTTACAGAATATATATAGTTAATAATTAAGAAAAATTCTAAAAAATATATTACTATCTGATAATTATCTCAAATTATTTGAAATTAAATTTTATTTGATCGGGTTCTGTCATAATTAGACGGCATTACTTACAGATCTCAGTTGTTGAAAACTCCATCCATACATTCATGGATTGCTTCCAGCTATGAATATGTTTAAATCAGTTATCCCAAGGAATCCGTGCTTCACTTTGAAACCTCTTCTATTCTTTCTATCTCAATCGAGAAATTTCTCTTTAAAACTGAATCCTACAAGCAAGAAATTAAACAAAGCATTGAGAATCAGAGACATTATATCCTCGAAACCAACCCCTCCACTTCCCGCCAAAACCATCTTCGTCTCATCCAAGATTTTCTAGAAACAAACTCAGATCAGTTTACTGTACAAAATTGTTTTGATGATTTAGGTTATTCAGATTTACCGACAGAAAATCTCCCAATTTTCTTCAAGGAAATTCTTGATGCTCCTGTTACAAATAAAGAGGATTCAACATTTAATCCCGTTGCGCTGTCAAATGGTATAAGTTTATGTGGGACAAAACATAGCCTCCTTGGTGGAATTCAGTATCATAGCTTAGCAATAAAAACTGGATTTTCAGAAACGTTTATGTGGGATGTTCTTTGGTTACTGTCTATGGAAAATCCGGGGAGTTGGGGAATGCTTATAAGGTGTTCGAAGAAATGCCTGTAAAGAATGTAGTTTCATGGACTACTATTGCTGCTGGATTTGCACAAGGATGGCAGATTGATATGTGCTTGGAGCTATATAATATGATGAAGAATACGACCTTGAAACCAAATGATTTCACATTGACAAGTCTTTTGAGAGCTTGTACGGGTAGTGGAGCTTTGAGGAAGGGAGGAGTGCCCATGGTCAAGTCATTCAAATGGGTTTCGATTCGTATATTTATATTTGCAACGCCCTTATTTCTATGTATTGTAAATGTGGAAGCATTGAAGATGCAATATTTATATTTGAGAGGTGGCTGGTAAATAAGATATTGTCTTGTAACTCAATGATCGCGGGTATGCTCAACATGGCCTTGCAATGGAGGCTGTTGATCTTTATGAAAAGATGAGAGAGGAGAAAATAAAACCTGATGCCATCACTTTCATTGGAGTCCTCTCTTCCTGCCGTCACACCGGTCTTGTCAAACAAGGCTGTGCTTGTTTTGGCTCGATGATCGTACACGGTGTCGAGCACTGGATCATTGTTCATGCTATGCTGATCTTCTCGGCCGAGCTGGATTATTACAAGAGGCTCTAGATTTTATACTAAAGATGCCTATTCGTCCCAATGCTGTTATATGGAGTTGTTTGCTTTCTTTTTGCAGGCTTCATGGGAACATCTGGATCGGGATAAAGCCTGCCCAGAGCAGGCTACTTTTAGAACCCAGTTGTTCGGCGACCCATGTCCAATTGACGAGTTTATATGCTAGTGCGAAGCGATGGGATCAGGTAGCTAGAGTACGTAAAGTGATGAAAGATAAAGGACTCAAAACCAATCCTGGGTATAGCTGGATTGAAGTTAAGAATAAACTTTTCAGGTTTATAGCAGAAGATAAGTCGAATACTAAGGTGAGTGCAATTCTTGATGTTTTGAGTTGCTTGGTAGACAATATGAGACTATTAGGTTATGTGCCAGAAATGCATGAGGAAGAGGTTGATGATGCTTTCTTATGAACAATTCAAGTTCTTTAATGGAATCAGATGTAATTTGAAGATAATTAAAGTATGCTTTTTCAGGCTTTTCATTACTTAAGATTAATGTTCTCTTTTTGGTTTGGATCATGAAGTCTGCCATTCTGGTGGTCAATCTTAAAGCGATATCCCAAAATGATCGGATTTTTAATAAAGAACTCGGACTGAGACTTGATTGTTGAGGCAGACTTTTCTGTTTTTGCTAATGCATGCATTCATTGCTTGGATATGAGAGGGGAATTGCACAGTTGTTAATCTGAAAACGTTGGTCGATCCAGGTCTGGTCTATGTAAATGATTGGATCGATGATGAGTCATAGTCACAACCAGAAAGGAAACGCTCTACATCTTCAAAACCCGCACTTCGGGGAAGCCCTTGCAGCAGCACCTGAAAATTTTGGCAAACTCATATAAGATTAGGGCCTTGCTAAGTAAGCCAAAAGTCTTTAAAATGCCATGAAAGTGTTTGAAGTTGAAAGCTGATGGAAATTTCACGGAAAAGGCTCTTAAAAGATTAAGGTATAACCTCTCCCAAAAATCTTAAACAAACACAGGCCAAAATAAATATAAACCTGAAGGTCTAATGTAGTTGATGGAAATTTCATTGCAAAATAGATAAATGTTGCACGTCATCACTGGTTGTAAAAGCCGAAAAGTCAAGAAGCCTTCCACAGTACAGAAGTCCATTCATAACTTCGACTATACCAATATAATGTATATAATAGTTTCATGTTGTCCTATGACAAAGTTCACTTATCGAAACTGACAATGCATATAGCTATAACATGATAATGCAGTTTCTCAAAATGTCGAAATTCAACTGAACAATAAAAAGTACTATAAAATATGTATGTTCAACTTACAGTTTTCCCATTGTATGGTGTAACTATGTCCCAGTCACCAGCATTAATCTGTTATATCCAAAAATTTCAAATCCAACATTATCAATCAAACCCTTTTAGATCGATTTACAATAAAACTGAACTTACCCTGTCCAATCGGTATAGCCGATCAAACCTCCGAATTGTCCTTGTTGCATTACTAAATGCACCAGGTGATGGGAACCGCAACATCCTAATTTCAAACAAAGAAAACTCAGGCATTAATTTTAAAGAATGCACTTTTTCAAAAAATCTAAAGGAACCCCAGTTTCCAATATGTATTCTTGAATAAATTTTAAACATTAAAACAAAATAAGTTGATAGGTAAACAAAGAGGTTTACATTGCAACGGGAAAAAAATGCGGTTGTAGCTGACTTTTATATCATCGGGCGTTAGATTACAGCCTTCAAGCAAGCTGATTATATCGCTCTTCATTGTATACTTAGTCGTTCCAAAGAGTTTCCCATAAACAAATCCTAAAATGCGTATTTCAGGGGAAAATTAAAATTAATTTTTTTTGCATAAACTCTAAACCCTAAACTCTACAGATAACACATAAAGAGGCGTTCAAGGGATTAACCTTTTCTTGCGGAATCGAGAAATGCATCTACAGAAGCGTCGGGCAGCGGTGGTTGTTGTTGTTGATCCGATTCGGTGGAGACTGTCTTGGCGATTCGCGGAGGAATGAAGGTAAGGCGGGGGTTGACTTGGCCGTTAGAAGAGAAACGCGCGATTTGAATGCATTTCGGAGGAGATTCATCTTTCCTTTTTCTAATGTTTTCGGGTTTTGAAGGACAGATTTGGGTGAAGTTGCAGCTGAAGAAGATGGGTGAAAATGAGCAAACAGTGGCTGAGAAGGCGAGTATAGCGGAAGTGGAATTAAGCTTGAAGCTAATGCGGCGCCGTCTTTATTTTATTCGTTTTCAGAAGTATTATGCATGGGCATTCTGGTTTGGGCCTAAAACCATGCTTTGGGACATGCCGTCTACATTTTTGGGCAGGCCAGGATGGTGTCAGGGATCAACCCTTTAAAATTTAATGCCATTTTTATATATTATTTATCATTAAAATACATACTAGATTTTGGTCCTCTACTATGCTTAAGTATTAAACTATTATTGATTATTGAATTAAATTTAATTATTATTTATTTTTATTATATATTCTTCGGATATTTTTCACAAGTAATTTCATACTAAAGAATCGCGTTGAAACGGCGACGTAAAGAAGGAAGGTTGTGAAAAAAGCGTTTTTGTTGATATATTTGATTGGTATGATAATTTTTTAATTACGCGAGTCATATATAACAATTTGTTTACAATTTCTTAAGTGATCTATATTCAATTCATGCTAGTTACAAAAATTATTATTTTTATTTTATATCCTCATAGCACTATGTGTAATGTTTACCTCGTAATAATAATTTAATTAATGGTATGTTTTAATATATTATATTAATAATATGTTTCAATTTACGATATTTACTATAGAGTATAGACTCATCTATCCTGTAAATATTTTATTTTTATATCTTTTCAACAGGAAATGTTTTAGCTGATTTTTTTATTAAAATAAATATTATTTGACCAAATGATCATAAGGATGTTTGGTTCAAGGAATATAGGATTTCAATGGGATGGGAATCCCATATTTTCATGTTTGGTTGGTTGGAAATCTCATTCCCGGTAATGTTTTATTACCAATAGATTTTTTGGGTATATTACCGTGAATGTCATTACCTCTCTTCCCTTAGGTATTGTAACATTACCGGCGTTTTGGACTAAAATGCCCTTAAATTTTTATTTTTTTTCAAAAATATCATTCTTCTGTCATTGAATAATAAAAATTCTACGAATGTTAAATTATAAATTTATCCTTAAATTATTAGATTTACAAAAAAAAGTCTAATTAAAATTTTATATGAAGTTCAGGGGTTTAATTTTTTTTTTACCCTTTCATTAAACCTTTTTTATATTTTTTATTTTGTAAAAAAATTATATAAATATTATGAATTTAATTTTTTAAAGAAAATATATAAATTTTACAATTTGTAAATTATACAAATATATAAAGGACAATTTGGTCAAATATATATTCAATAATTTTTTATTCCTTTAACCAAACACGGTAATCTTATATTCCTCCTAAACCAACCAAACACAAAATACAACATTCCCAGTAATCCTATTATATGATAATCTTTTATTCTCACTGGTAATTTACATTCCATGAACCAAACGCACCCTAAGAGATTAAGTTAAAACCGCCTTTTAAAATTGACACGTGTACATTACCCTCGTCCAGTTACCCGCAGCGCGAACCGGTCAGCGACGGATCTTTGTTTCTTTAGTTTTTGGCTTTCTCTCTCTCTTCAACCAAAAAAGAATGAACTTTCAAAAATCAAAACCACCGTTTCTCGTAATTTTTTGTCTTAATTTTTCCAGTTAAGCAAAGAAAATTAGAAATTGAAATTGTTTTAGCTCGCTATGTCGAACCGTCATCTGCTAAACTCGAAAATTTCATTCCATTTTCTCGTTTGGTGGATCGTGTTTGGTTGTTTTCCAGGGAAGGTAATATAACTTTCCCGAGAAAAAAAAACAAGAAAACTGACATTGTGTAGTTGTTTCCCAGTAGGCATTTGGAATAATTTTGCAGATGAAATCCATGTTTGTTTAGGTGAAATTTTGAAATGAAGAATCTTTCTGTTTTTAGGAGTAATTTCATCGTTTGTGGTAACATTGGATTCAATTGAAATATTCCGATCGCTGGGTTGGATATCAACACCAACAGTCTACTTCGTTTGTAAAGGAGAGAACAAAACGCTGTTACCCGATGTCACTAAACCCGGCGTCGTTTATTCTTTCAGAGGTCAAGAATCTTGGCAGGTTAGAAGAGATTTGATATTAAAACTTGGTTTAAGCTGAAGGGTGTCTTTGGGTATTCTTCGTTTTCATGTTACTTTAAAAGCTGAAAAAGTGTAATCTTTGTGATTTCAGCCATTGACACAATTGGATGCCAAGAAATGCAAGCGATGTGGATTCTACGAGCAGGACATCATTAAAATACATGATGTATATGACGAGCGGGAGTTTTGTGCTTTCGACTTCAAACCTCCATTTAGGAAATACAAATTGTTCAAAGAAAAGCAACTTAATGCTACGTTCCACTGTCTAGAATGTGCATCTCTTTCGGGTGGTAAGATTTTTTATTTGTAAGCGTTCCTCGTATAATTATAGCACTTATGCTTTTGTAATATTGCTGTTTAAATCCAGATGTTCAAAATGTTTTCATTGTATGTTGACAAACTGGTATTTGCTGTGTGTTTATAGCTTCCAATGCAACCCCCCAAACTGGTGATGATGATGATGGGAAGGGAATGCATGTTTTTATGATTATACTGATTACCATGCTGGTTTTAACTGTAACAATAATTGCATTGGTGGCGGCACATAAACGTTGGCAAAAGAAGAAGAGACAACAGGAACAAGCTCAATTCTTAAAGCTATTCGAAGAAGGGGATGATATAGAGGCTGAACTAGGCTATGGTACTATAATATGATTTAAAATGTTTGTTACGGTAAGTTTACCTCGCACAAAAATTTGCTTCTTGTGGGAGGGAAAGGGAAAAAAACGGCCTTTTTTGCACAGTAAGATATCGAACAATGAAGTTGGTTCTTCATTTTTGGCATTGAACCAAAAAGTATAATTATCAATGCCTGGTGTTTCTACTCAGAGCTGAAGCCTGAAGGCCTCCATTGATGCTGCTGGTTAAAGTATAGTAGAGATCCCGCTTCTATACTAAGAAATTGATTTCAGTCCTTATACTTTGAAAAGCAAATTTTAGCACTTGTACATGGATCCGTCAACAAAATTGGTAATTTGCTTGAGAGTTAAAAAAAGAAGAATGTGAATTTGTGTGTCTAACAAGGAGAGTGAAAAACTTCAAAAAAGGAACATTACATTTTAAAATTGGTTGTTTCTGTAACAGCTAAAAAAAGTACTAAAATGTTACATTTCAAAATGTAACTACACTTTAACCGAGATTCTCCCATGGTGAAAGCTTCATTGAATGCATCTGTTTTTCAGAGGAAAAGCAGGGGTTATCTTGTCTATATAACCCAAATCTTTCAATCACCAAAATGCTGTCTTTCCTATGATATACGAAATTGAGACTAATTATAAAATAATTATTAAGTTTAATGTACGGAAATATATTTAAAATAGGTTCTGTACTAAATAACTATTAAAATTTGTAAGTTTGGTGCACCAAAGTATACTGAAAATTGGTCCATTGTTTATCATATACTATTAGAAATAACCCTTTTTTAGGAAATTACAAATAACTATTATAATCTCCAAGTTTCGTACACGAAAGTATATTAGCTAAATAAAAATGTAATTATTCGATAATAAAAAACAAAATTAGAAGTTGCTTGGAAACCTCTCAACAATGTATGATGTGAATAAGATTTCCATGTGGGATCCAAGAAAGGTAAATCAAATTATCGTAAAACATCAATTCTACTATTAATTTTTTTGGTAAACCCCCGAGTCTTTAATGTTCAACTCGGAACTCATTCATCCTTATCCAAATATGGAGATTGAGGAATTACCTTCAGAAGAGCATCATCAGATCCTTAACGATCACACTGAGAGCAGTTCATCCCCCATTTTAGACCCTTTTGTGCTTTCATTCAAGAACTTAACTTACGACGTCAAAATTAGCAGCAAAACGGGGTTCCCCTTTATTTGGAAGAAATCAAATGTTTCTTCAGAAACTAACACCAAGAGCTTGCTCAAAGGTATCGCAGGTGAAGCAAGAGAAGGCGAGATCATGGCGATTTTGGTTGCAAGCGGGTCGGGTAATTCAACCCTGATCGATGCCCCTTGCAAACCGGATTTCCAAGCAGAGTCTCAAGGGTACCATCACTTTGAATGGGGAGGTCTTGGATTCTGGCATTTCCAAGGTGATTTCAGCTTATGTTATGCAAGATGATCTTTTGTTTCCGATGTTAACAGTCGAAGAGACTCTCATGTTTTCCGCTGAGTTCCGGCTTCCTAGATCGGTTTCGAAGAAGAAGAAGAAGAAAGAAAGGGTTCGGGCTTTGATTGATCAATTAGGGTTGAGAAATGCGGTAAAAACGGTGATGAAGGTCATCGAGGTGTTTAGGGAGGTGAACGAAGGCGAGTTTCGATCGGAATCGATATAATTCATGATCCGATACTATTGTTCCTCGATGAACCAACTTCGGGTCTCGACTCAACGAGTGCATTCATGGTTGTTAAAGTCCTTCAACGAATTGCACAAAGTGGAAGCATCGTGATAATGGCGATTCATGAACCAAGTTCGAGAATTTTAGGATTAATAGATCGCTTGATAATCTTATCACACGGAAGAACGTTATACAAAGATTCACCGGCGAATCTCTCACAGTTCTTCAGTGATTTCGGTCAACCAATTCCGAGAAACGAAAACCATTCCGAGTTCGCGCTTGACTTGATCCGTGAACTCGAAGAAACTCCTTCAGGAACCCAGAATTTATTCGAATTCAGCAAGTCCTGGAATGGAATGCATCATCAATGGATGATAATGGCGACGATGATAGTATTGGTTCCAACAAGCGAACTACTCTTCCACTTAAAGAAGCCATAGCCAAAAGCATTTCTCGCGGAAAGCTAGTCTCCGGTGGTGGTGCGAATCAGTCATTATCAGTTCCATCATTCGCCAATCCATTTTACATAGAAGTGATGGTACTATCCAAACGATTGTTAACGAACTCGAGACGAATGCCGGCGAAGTTCGCCGTCCGATTAGGCACCATAATAGTCACCGGAGTAGTCCTCTGTGGCTTCCTCGTCGCTCGAGATCGGCTACCCAAATACTGGCTATGGTTTCATTATATCTCTTTGATTCCTGGATCCGACGGAATGCTATGTTATGGGTGTTCAACTGTTCGATCAGACGGCGCTTGGGACGTTGCCGGCGCCGATGAAGAGCGAGTTATTGGCGAGCATGGAGCGTGTTTTGGGGAGGAATATAACGAGTTCAACGTGTTTAACGACCGGGAAAGATATACTTAAGCAGCAAGGGATCACCAAGTTAAGCAAATGGAACTGTGTGCGGGTTATTGTTGCATGGGGCTTCTTCTCTAGGGTTTTATTCTATTTGACTTTGATGTTTGGGAGCAAGACAAGAGGAAGTAAAATATCCATCCAAATGTAAAATTTCTTTGATTTTCTTTCCTTCCAAAATGTAAGAATGTATTGATTGTATGCTTCATATATTGGATTTGTTTTCTTATATATTAAGATATTATAGATTTATAAAATATGATAAATTTCATAAAAAAAATATTAAACTAAGTTAAAATAATTTTTTATCATTAAACCATTTAAAATTATAAAAACATTAATTTTCTTATTATTGTAAAAGCATTGTTAGTTGTCGTCATCTGTTCTTAATAGAATGATATCCAACTTGATCTCTTAATTATAATTATAATTTTATTTTAATACTTTTTAAATATTTATAATTAAAAATTTGATCATGCAACTATATTAAATATTTTTAAGTAATAATTTTTAAATAAAATAAAATTTTAAATTATATAAAAAAATGTGGCCATCCCTATACTTTAGGATCTGTCTTCTCTTTCAAGCCTTAGGAAAGCTTGGGTTTAGTTTTGGAATGTATATATGGCGAGGAAGAAACTTCAAAGAAAGTGGCTGTTGAGAATTCAGTGAGAAAGCAATAGTCATGTATATTGAATAGAGAAGATGAATTGTATTTCTTGCTGTGTTTTACAAAGGCACCAGGTCATGTTTTTATATAGTTTTTACAACATAGCTCACTCACTTCACACATACACACGTAATTAAGTAACTAACTCTCAACAGCCCTTAATTACCTTAACTGCACTCAACCTCCTCAACTGCATAACAACCTATAAGCCTAACATTCTCCCTATTCTCTTTTCCTTCTCTTCTATTGAAAAGATGAACAATTGAATCGAAAGTGCTGATGCTTCCTTCCGTTCACTTGAATCGAAAGTGTCGGTGCTTCCTTTCGTTCTTCTTGAATCGAAAGTGCCGATGCTTCCTTTTGTTCACTTTGAATCGAAAGTGCTGATGCTTTCTTTCGTTCTTCTTATTCACCTTCATTTCTTCCTTCCTCACCCTCTTTTACAAGGTTCCTTGACATATTTTTTTATGGACTCTTGGCTGTGAAGCTTTCAAGTCCCATGACACTTTGAGATAGAAGCAACAAAAATGAATACAAAATTAAACTTCTATTTACACACACAAAAGGATTATACTACTATGCAGAAATAGCTGCAGTGTGGTACTCTCCACATGAAACCTGTGTAATATTCACAAGCTCAGTAGCCTCATCAAGGAATTTTGCACATGCATTTATCACAGGAGCCCCCTGTAATCCTTCGAAAGTGACACCTCTGCCTAGCTGACCATACTCATTATAGCCCCAAGCTTGTAGTAGGCCTTCATCTGATAAAACAACTATATGTGCTGCTCCACAGGACACTTGATGGATGATCGTGTTAGGAGCAAATTCACCCCAAAATAAACAAGGTAAATTTGATCCCTGATTTTGTCCCCAAATCCAGAGTCATACATGTTGAGATGGTCCCATCATTTTCCTGAGGTTCTGCAATAGTTGCGGTACAATGTGTCCCACAAGATACATATTTCACAAACTCTGTCTGCAATTGTTTTACTTTCTTTGGGTGTTTCCTACCCTTCTCAGTGCCATCGCCTAGCTGTCCAAACTCATTAGCACCCCACGTGAATAATGACCCATCTGAGGCCACCGCTGCAGTATGCTCACAGCCGCAAGTAATATCCAACCAGCGGGAATTTGTCCCCGTCGGACACCCAAAAAACTTCTCCAAGAACCCAACGGAATTCGCTGGATCCAAGCTGGCAGTAAACGATGCCGGTTTAGCAGCCATTGCCGCTGCCGAAGACATTTTCTCCTCCTCTTCCATGCAGTGAAAGAAAAAAAAAATAAAGTCAAGACCGTTTGGCGAGTGATACCATGTTGAGAATTTAGTGAGAAAGCAATCAAGTCATGTATATTGAATAGAGAATATGAATTGTATTTCTTGTTGTGTTTTACAAAGGCACCAGGTCATGCTTTATATAGCTTTTACAACATAGCTCACTCACTTCACACATAATATAATTAAGTAACTAACTCTCAACAGCCCTTAACTGCACTCAACCTCCTCAACTGCATAACACCTATAAGCCTAACAGTGGCAAACAAACAACAGTTGTCTTATAAAATCAAGACTCAACAATACGCCTTACTTCGGGACTTTGTAATTTTATAATTTCATGATTAGTCGAGTTTTAATTTATTTTGCATGTATGGGAGATTATAGATTCAAATATTTTAAAGTGTAATTACTTTCCGTTGAAGATTATGGGTAATTTAAGAATTAGATAATATATAAAATAACGTTATTATTTTCAAAAAGATTAAATTGAAATTTCATAGTTTTTAAAAATTATAAATAATAGTTATTATATTACAATGTGGACGTGATGAAGCTCTGTCGAATATTTTTGACTCTCATAATAAATGTTCGATTCATAAATAGATTGTCAACGACCATATAACTCATGATCTATAATTTTGTATAAAGACACGTGGAGAATGATAATTCAAATATTCTTAAAGATTTGATCTCGATCTTAGATAATGAAGACATTGAATTGCTTGAAAATGGTATTAATGTGAGTGACACTAATAATAGCCCAGTTCATCAATTTCTCGTATAATATTTATTCGGGATGAACAAAAAATTGCATATTAGGAAAGATAAATTTATAAAATTTTAAGTAGGGGAGAGTTTATAAAATTTTAGAGGCGAAAACATATTTCTAATATAAAATATAAAGAAAATATCTAAAATATATAATAATTTAAAAAAATTTAAGGGGACAAACGTCCACTGACGAATCTTCTGGTCCCCGCCAATTTTTTTAATTATTAATTAATATTAAAAATATATACTTTTAAAAAATAAATAAATAAAAATTTATCTGATCCCCTTGATTAAAATTTTATATGTACAAAAAATAAAAAAAAATACTTTAAACCCCCGCTTTAATAAATTTCTGATTCCGACCCTGCGGACATCTCCACTTACCCTCTCTAGATCCATCCTTGTATAAAATTGTATTAAAATTTTAAACATGACGTTTTAATTTTTTTATCAATGCATATTAACTAAAATTATATGATTTTAAATAAATTAATCTAAGGTAAATATAATGTAGTATATGTTTAAAGATAATTCTTAACCTCTCGATATTATACGTTCACACTCTTGGCATTTATGGTACTCGAGCCTGAGTCTTCAATGAACATCAACAATTCATTTACCATGGTTTGTGGTTAACTAATCTAAAGTTAAAATTAATAATTATAATAATTTATATAAAATATGAAATGGAAATATCACATGGAATATTATACAAATAATTAAAATGCTTAATAATATGATTGTATATAAATAAATAAAATATACATTTAAAATTATTATAAATTTATATCACTTTAACTCAAATGAAGGAAAACTTAAAAACACACTATTGTCGTATAATATGAATCTAATTTTAAAAAATGGAGAACACATATAAATAACATTGGTCAAAAGGATCGGAGAAATAAAACACGTGTCTGGTTTTTGCGGGAGACACATTGAAGAGTTACGTTAGAAAAAAGAGGGTGCACTCTTTTATGAGGTTGGTAGGTAGAATTTTCTATATATTATATAGTATTTGGATTATATAGTTTCTGATCATATATTTATATTTGAATTATTTTGAGTTATTTAATGTCAAAAAAAATTATTTTGAGTTATTTTTGGTCTTAGTTTGGCAGACAGCAGAATTCAGATAGTGTAGATGATTATGTAGTTCTATCCATAATTAGGATACTTTTAAAAAATTATTATCTTTTAAGGAAGTGTTTTAAGATTAGTTTAATATATGATTTAGGGTTTGTTTGTTTATTTCAGAATGATTAAGTGTTGAATCATTCAAATGCTGAATGATTTAGAGACTCTGTATGAATTAACTATGAATGTGACATGCTGTTTGATAATGACTCTGAATCATTCAGAATGTACTTTGATGCTGAATCATTCAACACTGTTTTACTGAATCTGTCGGAACTTAATCATTCAGGGGTGTGAAACAAATGCGCTGAATACTGAACGGTTCAACATTCATCACTGAATGATTTCAGCCAAACAAACAGCCTCTTAATTTTACCATATTAAATATATAAATAAAAATTATTATTATATATAAGTAATCATAAACAAATAAACTAAAACACGAAAATAAAAAAAATAAAAGGAAAATTAAATATAAAATGAAGGGCATTTTAGCTTTAAATTTAATTAATTTTTTTGTTTAGGATTCCAAGGTGATAATCCCCCATATCATAAAAGTAGTATTTAAAAAGACCAGGTGGAATTCCATAAATATCCTTGATGAATCATAAATTATCACGCCAGAGCTGTAGTTTATCGCGTAATTTTATCCAAAACTCTAGACGATTTATTTAAAAAGCCTTCAAATAATTTCAGCCAAGGATTAAGTACTTATTGCTCACCCCACATGACCATTTAAATTTCATTTTTGATAACAAAAAAACTTTAATTTTGATACCAAAAAGAAAAAAAATCGAAATTGGAAGCTAAAAATAGAGACGATCTTAGAATTTTGATGATTTCAAGCTGCGAGATTTGTCCTTCACGTAATATTCTTTTGCGCATAATCTGTAAGTTTTTTAATGACTTTGACTAAATTATAAACATTTATAAATCAATGTTGAAAACTTTTGAACAAACAAGAGTTTGATTCTTTAATATCCAATTCTCTTTCTTTATTTTTGCATTGGCTCTCTGTCTCTTATGAATCTTGTTTGACTTCTCTATACTTGTACAATCAACGCTTAATATCTGTTTGGTTCTCGAGAAAATTGTAGAAGTAACTCGAGTTATTGGTGTTTCTCGAGGTTACGTATTTCTTCTTTTGTAATAAATGCGTCTTAACATTCTATTTTGGGATTTTTACTTAATATCTGTCAAAGTAGATTTCCGATTACTAGAGTTGGTATGGAAGATATGGATGATTGATCCCCTTAATTGCTTTCCTTTTTTTGCATTTTATTTTCTTGCGGATTAAATAGGAAGATTTTAGGGTTTAATATTTGCTTGGTTTGGTTTTGAATTGAATGCAGATACCTCGAGTTAAAGAATAAATGTGGTTGAAGGGAAAGAAAGATTTTGATGATTACGGTGATTTGTTGGATTCATCTTTCTTTGCAGAAAATAAAGAATCTGTAAAGGGTTCTTGTTATTTTTCTTTGAATTTTGTTAATCTAGTGAAGGATTAGGATTGACAAATGAATGTGGTTGGCAAAGTTGGGAGTTTAATTTCACAAGGCGTGTATTCTGTTGCTACACCTTTCCATCCTTTTGGTGGGGCTGTTGATGTGATTGTTGTTCAGCAACAAGATGGGAGTTTCCGAAGCACACCTTGGTATGTTCGGTTTGGGAAGTTTCAGGGTGTGTTGAAAGGGGCTGAGAAGGTTGTTCATATAACTGTTAATGGTGTTGAAGCGGATTTTCATATGTATCTTGATAACTCCGGGGAAGCATATTTTGCAAGGGAGGTTAATCCTTGCAAAGGAATCGAGACAAATGATGATTTGAAAGATTCTGATGATGAAGTTTTACAAGATGAAGGTAATAAAAAGATTGGTGAATTTTGTAGACTTGACCATAGTATCTCAGATTCAGCGGTGGCTCAGTTGAGGAACGAACTTGATTCCACAAATCCAAAGAGGTTTGAAAGGGCAGAATATGATACTAGGTTCTATGACTTTCAGGATGAGCAGTCCTTAATAGAGGGATCGGTTAATTTGTCAGAATATGGGTCTACCAGATATGAGGGTTTAAATGGTGAGTGTTTTGGTGAAGCACAGGGTTCAGATTCAGAAGTTGTCTTGGTCAGTGTGGATGGCCACGTACTTACAGCCCCTGTCTCAGCATCAGAACAGAGTGCCGAAAATGTGCATCTAAGCACACCTCAGTTCCATCTAGGACCAGGTGAAGAACCTGACTTCTGTGGGAACAATGAGGAGTTTAGTTCAAGTGACAATGTATGGGCTGCTGACTATATAAGTAAGCTCAATTCAGCCGCAGCTAAGGATTCCTCTGATACCATTTGCAGCTTGAACAGTGATTCTACTACTTTGAACCATCCAGAAGTTTATGGAAATGGGGTGGAACATGCCTGTCAGACTGAAGAAACTCCGAACCTTTCTAACCATGTCCGAGACAGTGAAGTGAGCAGGCAGAGTGATGTTGAAGATGCATCCATGCATAATAAGGATGATATTTTTAAGAGCTGCCTTGAACTATCTGAATTGGGCAGATACAGGGAAGACATTATTTCTGAAGACATAGTTAGCCCATTAGAAGCTCAGGTTTCACAAGATAAACCTCCTTTCAGTCTTCCAGACGCTGATGAAACTGAAGAGGGAGCTGTTGGTGACTCTAGAAATAAAGATGTGTTATCTTCCTCTTGTAGTCCCGATTTGTCCAACAATAATGGATCTCTTGTTTTACTAGTTGAGGGTGAAACATTTGAAAAAGAAGTGCGGGATACAGATCATACAGGTTCCAACAATTCATCTATTGATTCTGTTAGTAATGACCCTGAACAAAAAGATGAACAATTTGGTACATCAGCAGCAACTGAAGGGATAAATAGCAGTGAGCAAAGTCCTGCGCCTGAGGATAAGAGTAGGAAACATGAGATCATGGAAACTGCAACTTCTGGTGAAGAGATAGAAACTCGTGCTAGCTCGGGTAAGGCACTAAGGACCCACCTTAGGAACTTTACCTCCTTTAATTGTTTTACACTCTTATTTTTGCTCTAATTCTCCTGGAAAACTCAGTGTTTTGTTTGAGAAGACAAAATAAGACTGTTTTCATTATAATAATATGTATAGAATGCGAGGGAAAGCATTTTTGGTTGTAAAAATAGAACATGTCTCCTAGAAAATGGAATGAAAATGGGCCAAAATTAGAGAACAAAAAGAAAAAAAAAAGGATGTTTTCAAAGAAACAGGTAACTTTAAGAAATTTTTCAGTTGTCGTTGCAAACCATCTAAGACCTAAGTTCAAATCACCAAACATGCAAGATTATTATTATTATTTTCTTTTTGACCGTCATTGTAAACAATCTAAAGACCCAAATTTAACTCATCTGACATTCTAGATTATTATTATTATTTTAGGGGCAAAAGCTGAAAAAAACGTTGTCATTATTCTCTCTAATTAGTGATCCTATAGTTTGACATCTGACTTTGGCCTTTTGTGTTTTATAGAATAGTTTTTGTCACTACATTTGTAGAGTTTGATTGGGAAAAGAATATCTGTTCTTTTCTTGATAATTGTTAACATTATGAAACACGAACTGCTGTTTGTTTTGTTTTATTGAACTCTTATGTTTATTGCCAAGAATTGTTTTGCATGTTTTAATTTTGAAAATGCACATACCGACCCCATTTTCACTATTTTATTTTCTGAAAACATGTCTCCTTATTTATTTAACAAACGTGTTTTTGAAAATTTTGAATATAGAAGGAGCATTGTTTCAGAAAAATTGAAATATAAATAGATTCTCAAATCTATCATAGTCTTAGCTTTTCTTGCTCATCTTATATTTCCAGGATTTGAGATCTCACTTTGTGGAGATGAACTTCATGCGGGTATGGGACGAGATGCTGCTGCAGAAGTCTTTGAAGCACACCGCATATCACATGAGGAATATAAAAATAATGCAATGTCCATTAATAGTAATGCAAACCTAATCATCCGATTTGGAGAGAGGTACATTCCATGGGAAAAAGCTGCTCCTATTGTTCTTGGAATGGCTGCATTTGGTTTAGAGTTAGATGTTGAACCCCAAGATGCAATCCCTGTTGAACAGAATGAGTCATCAAACCCAAAGAACGATGATTATACAATCACTTCCACATCCTCTGGTCGTAGATGGAGGCTTTGGCCTATTCCCTTTAGAAGGGTCAAAACACTTGAGCACACCCACAGTAATTTATCTACCGAGGACGACTTTGTAGATACCGAATCTACTCTACAAAATTCACCAGTAGGTTCAACTGCAGAATCCAGTGGGAAGATTGAATCTCCCCGCAAGCAATTTATTAGGACAAATGTTCCCAATAGTGAGCAGATATCTTCCTTGAATCTGAAAGATGGTCAGAATAAGATTACTTTCAGCTTCTCCACCAGGGTTCTGGGAACACAACAGGTATCAATTCTCTACCAATCAATTCTTCCTTTAGATTTGCAAGGTTTGTGTTAATTTTAACAATTTATCCTCCTAAACCTATGCATCTTTAACAGGTTGATGCTCATATTTACCTGTGGAAGTGGAATGCAAAGATCGTAATCTCAGATGTTGATGGCACTATCACTAAGTATGGACTTTTATCTTCTGATGTTATATCCACGCACTATTTAAAATGTTATTGTTTCACCCATTACTTAAGAGTGTTCCACTATGATCTTTAGTATTAAAGAATCAACTTGTATTTCTAGAAGTTGTGATAGCTTATTTGATTTGTGGTGAAATCTTTCCTTTGAATATGTTTCAATCATGTATAGTTTTAATGCAAGATGTGCCTTTCAATAACATTGACACTATCTCTTTCAGGTCTGACGTTTTAGGCCAGTTTATGCCATTAGTTGGAAGGGATTGGACACAATCTGGTGTAGCTAAACTTTTCTCTGCTATTAAGGTATGTTGACATGCATGGTATCAAATCGATTTCCTCGGGTATCTGATTTTAAATACTGAATTATCTGTTCACAACAGGAGAACGGATATCAGCTGCTATTTCTGAGTGCACGAGCAATTGTTCAGGCATATCTAACCAGAAGTTTTTTAATCAACCTGAAACAGGTAGAACATTTTATTTTACCTTTGCCTTTGCATCTAAATACAACTTTTACATTTTCCTTATGAAAGTTAAAGTGGTAGGCCAACATTTCGAAACCATCCTCACTGGTAAAAAGATTTTAACTGATTGATTTGTTTATATAGGATGGAAATGCTTTACCGAATGGACCTGTTGTTATTTCCCCTGACGGTTTGTTTCCCTCATTGTACCGTGAAGGTGACATCTTGTTCTTATCATATGTTTGATTTTTTATCATATTATATCTTATTTTCTATTCAAAAATGTATTTATTACAAAAAATACGTTATTTTGTTAGCAGTATTTACTCTGCATGGGAACTTTCAAAATGTCTTAAGAAATTATAAAATAATTATAGACAGATATTTTTCTTTTTATATTTTTTAAAATTTAAGTTAAACTCTTTATTTTTTAAAAAGATTATATAAATTAATTTATTAACACTACATTTCTTAGAAGGATTTGATTATTTTGTTTTCTAAACCTTTCTTTTTAATTAGGTTGATGATTAAATCATATAATTATATATAGAACACAAGCAACGTAGGAAATAATTCTCTGTGGTGCTCTAAAAGTTTGACAAGTGGACACTGTCATTTATTGATCTGTCGTCTTCAATACTATTAAAATAACATGGTGATAACAATATTAATATTTTAGTATTAAATACAACTTATAACTTTTTTATAGAATATATTTCTAAATCTAAATTATAGAAAACGCTGTTTTGTGAAATATATAATCTTACATCATCATGACATTGATTTTAATTTTTTATATTTTTATTTGTTTAGATTCTTTATAATTAATTTTAAAAAAAAATACTATAATATTTATTTTAAATTATTTATACATATTAAAATAATTTAATTTATACATACAATAATCTCAGAAAGAAAACTAGTACATATATTTAGTTGGAAGTAATTTATCTGTGTTTTGATCCTTTATTTATATCAGAATCTTTAGGCTGTACTATTAATTGCATCATTCATTCTGATTTATTCTACCATTTCCACCTTATTAATTGCAGTAATAAGAAGAGCACCTCATGAGTTTAAAATAGCATGTTTGGAGGTAAATTCCAAAATACTTCTTGTTTCTCAATCTAGATCGAAACAGGTTATTGCAATAGGTTCGGTCTTTTCACTTTGGGTTCCTTTCTCATGTGTGCATTGCAGGATATTAAGAAACTGTTTCCCTCCGATTACAATCCGTTTTATGCGGGCTTTGGAAACAGAGACACGGATGAGCTGAGCTATAGAAAAATCGGGATTCCCAAGGGCAAGATTTTTATCATCAACCCAAAGGTATACATGCTTTCTATGTCCTACTCTTGAGGGAAAATATGAACCATAATCAGTAATGAGTTTACCGTATCGACTTTCTAACAATCCGACTTGAAACCGGCAGGGTGAGGTGGCCGTTAGTCATTGTATCAATGTGAAGTCGTATACGTCGTTGCATACTCTCGTTAATGACATGTTTCCTCCAACCTCGTTGGTCGAACAGGTAAAAGAATTTTTAAGAATACTCTTTATAACTGTCCCCTGTTAAGCTTTGTCTCGGAGCCTTGGAAGTTCAACGGTGACTGATATTCCGACACCTTTGCAGGAAGATTTTAACTCGTGGAATTTTTGGAAAATGCCGTTGCCGGATATCGAGTGAGCCTGCCGGTAGAGATTACAAAAATACGCGCCACATACAGAAGAGATTATTGAAGCTTTAAACCTTGCGTTCTGCGGTCTTCGTTTTGTATTACATTCAAATGATTGTACGGAGTCATAGGTAGGTGAAGTGAATAAATTCAATCATTGCCTCCCTCAATAGCTGTTTTGTTCCCGTAGAGATTACAACATTCTTTATGTTTATTTTGTACGACTTTATAAACTTCAATAATAATACAATTTTTACATTATAGCAGTATCCCTTGTTTGAATATATTAATTTAAATATTTTTTATTGTAATACCTGATGGCACGCTCTATATGCATACATATATATAATCCTTTCTTCCTACCAGTTAAATTTAAGTATTTGACAAGTATATTTAATTCAGATTTAGATTTAAATTATAATATTTAAATAATTTATTAATAAAAATAAATCTAAACTTTTAAATAATTCAAAAAAATATATAAATATTCGAATTATTTTGATTGTTGGAAGTAGACCGACTTTTTCTCATAGACATTTATTGCTTTTAATATTCAATAAGAAAAACCGTAGTTATTTTTTTCCAATGGAAATAAGATAAGAAATGCATTAATTAATCCCTGAAATTTATTAGTTAATGGATATGAATAGCAACATTTTGTATTCCCTGAAATTTAGAGAAAAGAAAGATGGTGGTTAAAAAAGAAAGCAGGAAAGCGAAAGACGAGGCAAGGGACTCGAACAATGCGGGAAATTAATAAAATATTTACGTTCCCACGTCAACGCCCAAATTGTGTTTCTCCGTTCACTAATTTTTATTTTATTTTTTTACTGTGATTTTCCCTTTCGTTTCGTCGCTTCCTCAAACATGCAAAAGTGAAGAATTTTCTCGACGAAAATCAATCGCCATTTTTGAATGCTTTGTCGTATTTTCTTCATTTATTATCGTTAGGAATTTTATAGGGGGTCTTTGAGATTGGAAGAAAATGTCATGGATAAGAACGGTTGTTAGTAGAGCCGTGGAAGTAGGCGGAAAGAATACCCTGAGACGCACTGTATGGAGTGTCGCCGATTCCGTCGTCTTCGGTGGTGCCAGGAAGATCCATAACCGCATTGTAAATTTCATATTTCTATCCGTTTTCATTTTGGATTAATCACACATATGTCCTTTAACTAGTATAATTTAAATTTTAAATTGATATCCTATTAATAAAGTCCTTTTATCATACCGGTTCTAGGCATTAAATACTTGTTTGAATATTTGTCTTTCGAAGCGTTAACTGTTTGATTGATATCTTAAACATGCAAAGTGGCGACTTGATCGTGCATATGAGAACTATCATTTAGTGCCTAAGCTAATAGTTTTGGTGACCGGATAAAAAACTTTCAAGTTTTAATAATGTGGGAGTTTGGTGCAATTAATCCTTTCAATTTTGACAGAAAAATTGATTTGTTTATTTTATGTTAATTATCAGGCGGCTAGGAATATGCAGAATCTTCGAATAAATGTAAAGAGACTTGAAGAAGTTTCGGTATCATGTACAGGAGTCGAGAGGGTCCAGCTTTTAAGACGCTGGCTGGTGGCCCTTAAAGAAATCGACAGATTATGCAATGATCAACATGATAAGAAGAATATTATTCATGAGGATAATAATAATAACATTACTAAAGATGATAACAACAGCGACAGCTGTGGCACTACTGCTAATGATAATGACAGAAACAATGTCGATCAGTTCTCTTACGAAGAGATCACGGATTCAACCCAAAAGCCAACTTTGGTCGGTAATCCTTTTTTTTTCCTTTTTCAAACTTTATATTAGTAATTAATATATATTATATAGTTTTGTTGATGTTTGATTATTGTGGCTGTTGATTACAGGTGTATTACTATGACCCTGAAATCGGGGAACCAATGAATTTTCGGGAGGTTTTTCTGTATAGTCAAGCTCTTGAAGGGATGACACTGTCAATGGTAAGTTCTTCACCATTAATGTCAATATTTCCTTTTGGCTGTTTGCATTGGAAATGACTTGTAATTTAAGTTGATGGAAAAGAAGTAATGGACACAGGTAGGGTTTATGTATCAAAGCCATGAATTTGTATTTGGACTATCATAAAAAAATTGAATTAGACTGTGCTTGAATTAAGACCATGGAGCTTGTTAAAGTCAAGGAGTTCGGTAAAGTGTGTGTGTATACATACCTAAATTTGCTTACTTTGATGTCTAATGTCTTAGTTTAGTTTATTTCTGTTGCTTCATTGGCTTGTCCTGCACATGAAGGAGCAGTACTTGGTTCTCTCATAAGTCATTTATATTCTTGCTAAAAGAAGAATTACCATTTGATATTTGTATAATTACATTAGGGCATCTTTAGCTGGACTGTACAATATATATATTAATTAGCGTGCCACATGTACCTATATTAATAGACTGATATACTGATTCAAATAGCTGTTAGGGTATATCATAATCATTTAAGAACCAGAAAAATGACTTTCATATATATTTTTCTGGTGGTTTTGGCGCTCTTCTTATTAGAAAGCTGTAGCAGTATGATATTTGGGTTTTTTTTCCATATAAAACAACATTTAAGTCTTTGAACCTGACAACTTTTCCCAACTTCGCCTCTAAACTTTTTCTAGTCCACATTAGTCTCTGAACTTAGCAACTTTCCCCAAGTTCTGGGGCTAATGTGGGCCCAAAAAAATTGAGGGGCCAAGTTGGGCAAAGGTGCCAAGTTCAGAGACTAAATGTTGCTTTATCCTTTGTTTTTGTTTCTTCGCTGCAGTTACATGTAACTGTCTGTTTTGCATATTTGGGCTTTGTATTTGCTGATCGATTGAGTTTAACCGCAGGGTAACTCTTTTGTATGACTCAGATTCTTGTAGCACCAAATGAGGAAGAGGTTTCACTATTTGCGGAAATACTTAGGTGAATTTTCCAACTCTTTTTGTTACTTTTGTGTTTGATTCTCCACACATCCTAAATTAATCTCTTATAAGTTGTTTCCAGATCAATTATATGAAGAGAAGAGAATTTGTTTATAAGAAATATATGCTTTTTGTCTTGCTATTATTTGATTCCAAGTAAAGCGCATTGGTTTGGTCATATACAGGATCTGTATTGAAGGAGGGAAGGAAGTTCATGAGACAGTAATGAGCAGCATAATGACCTTATCAGTGGCATTCTCAAACTATCAAGAGGAAGTATTGGTAAGTACATTGCATATATGTTAACAAAATATTAGAGTTAATCTAACATATATGAATATATCGGTTCTCATTCATTTTACCTAAATCTAACATAAATATGATCTCTTCTTTATTCTTGTCTCTGTTATTTCTTGCAGATACAACGAGAAGAATTGCTCCAATATGCTCAAACTGCAATTAAAGGGCTCAAAATAAATGTTGGTCTTGCAAGGTGATTAATGAGTCTATAACACACACACACATATTGGTATGTTTATAATGTATATTACAATCGTTTCCCTCTTACAACATCATTGATCTTTTCCTACATGGCCTTGTCATTTTGAGCCATGGTATTTGTAATTAATGTATGGATATATCCAAGTATCTTGAATCTTAAAGGGGTTTGATTCTTGGTTTCTTGTTATAAAGCTCATGAGAACCCAGATGTGAATGTTGATCTTTCTGTTAATATAATATTTTTATTTTGTAATATATATTTACCATCATACCTTCACATGTTTAAGCAACCATTAACATTTGTAAACATATTTAGTTGTAATAAAATATGAACGAAATGTTATCTTTTCCCTCCGCTTGTTTCTGTGCCTGCTATCAGAATAGATGCTGAGGCTTGCGGTCTAAAGGAAAAACTTGGAGAATTGAAGGAACTCCAGAGCTCTTCAAGTGAAGGTCAAGTAGAATTTTCTGAAAAACAAACTGCTGCAATGATAGAGGTGAAAGCTTATAAATTATTCATTCCAGTGATATCCTGATATTCATTTTAGCTCTTACGACTGTCATTTTTGTATATTTCACTGGTCCACAAGTATATCTGATAGCTAATAAATCTAATAAAACTGAATGTTCTGATCTTTCCTTGTAGGCTCTTAAGGAAGCTCTTGGCTTAATCAGGCTATATTCCAGATTGGAGGCACTGTTACTAAAGAAAAAATCTTTAAGCAATGGGGATACTCCAGAACTTCATGCTGAAAAGGTACCATTCTTCCACCTCATATCTCTTTGTTTATGATATATATCAATTAGTGAACAGCAAAATGTCCAAGATTTCTGGCTAACAATTAGTGCTTCTCTTTCAAACATGGACAAGACTACAAGCAGGGCCGGATCCTTGGTTCCTCTCCAAAATCCTTGGACCTTAATAATCATCTTGCATATATTTTGGCCCCCTAAACTTCATATTTGATCCTCTTTTTTCCATTCTCAATATAAAATTCTTGAGCCTTGTCCCTGACTCTAACGTCCTTTTATTAAGAGCTTAATGCCATCCTATTATACAGCAAGTGACTATTATCTGCTGTATCATTTTTCTGATAATTCCACCTGCTCTACTATGTTATTCTAATGAAAATGTCTTTTTTACTTTCACTTCTTGGAAAGATCTGTTTGAAAAACCAAAATCCATTCAAAAAGGTAAATTATACATAAGCTGTTGAAAAACAACCCCAGAATGATGTCATAGTTTTCTGCTCACTGTAACTGTTAATTAGCTAATATAGTCCATTTTTGTTGCAGGTCGATAAATTAAAAGTTTTATCAGAATCTCTCGTTAACTCAACATCAAAGGCTGAAAAGCGCATTTTAGAGCAAAGGTTTTAGATGGAATTTACATTTCTTGCATGGAATATTTTAAAACAATTGAGCTCCCTATCACTTTTTTATATATGCACCAACCTTTCAAGGGTTACTGAAATTTCGTTATTTTGTTTGATAATTGGATCATGTTGATTATAGGTTTTAATTTTTGAAGTTATTGGAGTGATATGAACCTATCATGTTGATTAGGTTTTAGTTTTTAAAGTTATTGGAGTCAATTAACCAATGTAACTTGGGAATGAGAGAGTATCGGATACGAGAATGTGTTTGGTACGGGTTTGTTCAACTTTTCTTTTCTCTAATTTTTCCGTACATGTGGAAGGTCCTTGGCCATGTCTGCAACTGTATCAGATATGAGTATGGAATATCGGTACTTTAAGAAACATAAAGATTCAGAGCTAAAATTAAATGAACTAAAAGTAACGAATCTGGGAATTTTCTTGTGATAACCGGTTGTGCTGGTTAAATTCTCATTATCATGCAACAAAAATATGGTATTCCAATATATGTCAAATAAGGCAAATACATTCATACATTTGTGTTTGAAAGTCATTTCGCTGTTTCCTCATTGATTTGGTTGAATTTTCTGTTTTTTCATTTTAGCTTTTTTGTGTTTTTTTTAAAGTTCCTTTTCCTTGTGTGTTTCAATCAGGGTTCAGAAAGAAGCAGCAGTTAGCTTTCGTATTGCTAAAGCCAACGAAGTCAACCAACAAGAGAAGGTATTAACTATCAAGCGAAGCTCTTTTCTTTTCTTATCAGAATATCAAATGAAGAACTTCCCATAATCATTCACTTTGAATGCTTTCTTCCTGAAATACATAGAGAGCATTGATCTCAAGGCAATGCCTATTATTCTCTTTATCAAATCAATAGGGGCTTCGAGTTTTCCAATTATTGTCTGTGGATCAGTGGTGATTTTCAACTGATTTCTGATGTAACATTTTCAGATTGAACAAACTTTTCCTCTTTTTTCTTTCTTTCTTATCTATAAGGAATATCAAAGATAATTCATATTGAATTTCCCAGAAACTGGAAGCTGGGATTCTAGAGCTTGAAAAGCGAAAAGATGAACTTGAAGCTGAGCTTAGAAAGGTTTACTTTAATACTACTACTTCTTGGAAATCTTATTCTTTTATGAATTGTTTATCATCTGTCATTACATAGTTAAGTTTCAGTTTTACCCTTTTATTTCTTCTTTTATGTATATACATATCTGGTTCTGTATGTCAGATACTGATATTTGTCCAATACTGGTATATTCAGTATGTCTATTTTTCAATGTATTTAGAGTCCTTAGTGGATCATATCCTTGTAACTATGTTCAAAATATGTCAGACACAAGTGTCAGATTCTGGATTTTAAGAGAAGTGAGAACGAGCATAGGATACATTATCCGGAAGGGGTTTCTCAATATTTTCCAGAGTGGGATTATGATATGGTTATTAATCTGGTTCAGGTCAATGCATCACTTATGGCTGCTCGTGTACGCCTTATCAATGCTAGGGAAGAGCGAGAGCAATTTGATGATGCCAGTAACCAGATTCTATCACAACTGTCATCAAAGGTATAATTGCTTTTAAGTACCAGTTAGATGATACGCTTTTATAAGCGGAACTCTATTTATATTCAGAAACTTGCCATCTGTTTCTTCTGTTCATAGGAAGAGGAAATTTCGAAATCGATTGCTTTATGCCGAGTAGAAGCAGATGTTGTTAATGCGTGGATTCATTTTCTGGAAGATACGTGGGCTCTCCAAACCACCTACCTTGAGCAAAAGGAGAAGCAGGTCAAGTATGTACATCCTTTCTTCTACAACCTACTGAATTGGTCCTACCACTTCTATTGACTATTTATCCTATCATTACTCAAACGCGAGTGTGATTATTGGATAAAGGGCATTGTGACCAACACAGATTTCTCCGTTTTAAAACAAGAAATGGATGCAACATCACCATGTTTCATATCTAACTCTGGATTGATGCCTACTGCCTCTATTGACTATTTATCTATGTTACTCCAACCTGTGTGTGTGTCGGATAAGGGTATGTATTCGACATAGGTAACTAATAAGTTCAATTTTTAAGCTTTTGCATGTTTTTGGAAAGTATTTGGAGTGTTATACCTAGGGATGGGCATGAGACTCGAACCTGACCCGACCGGATCGAGTCGGTTTTTTTTAAATTGGGTTTGGATCGGGTCGGGTTTTTTAAAGGTGATGTTCAGGTCAGGTCGGATTCGGGTAAGGTAAAAAATACTCGACCCGACCAGACCCGGGAAAAATATAATTTTACTTTATATATTTAGGAATGATTATAATAATACCAATCTGTATATTTTTTTTTCAATTAAATCACTGTTTTTATTGAATAGAATAATATTTTTTATTATTTCGGGTCGAGTTTGATTGGGTTCGGATTTTATCTCAAAAAATCGGGTCGGATTCGGGTCGGTGAATGATATAAAATTTTTGGGTCGGGTCGGGTTGGCCGAAACCCGACCCATGCCCATCACTTATACCCCCTTACTCGGCACACAGATTATTTAAAATAGATCAAAGTCTAACCAACATAGTTTATCCGTTTTAAAACAAGGAATAGTTGTAATATCACAATCTTATCATATCTAACTCTGAAATTTCAAATGCTTATATATACTTGGAGTTTTGATTTTTTTTTTCTTTTTCATTTTAATCTTCTAGTGGTGAACTAGAAAGATATGGAGAATATTTTGTGAATCTGGTCTCTCACCTTCTAATTGCTTACAAGGTATTACTCTTCCAACAATCTTATCCATGAAAGCTTGTCAAAAACTTAATGACATCCTGTAATTCCTATTCATTTCTATGGAGTCTTTTGCAACATATGCCCCTCGTTTTTATTTAGTTTCAATCCTATATTCTTAAGGAACAACTCGGGCCTTCCCTCACAAGAATTAGGCAGCTAGTGGAGAATTTGGCCTCAACTGAAACAGCTAAGGACCAAAGAAGAAATCTTGAAGAAGAATATCTAAGCCTTGAATCCAAAGTATGTATCGATCTCATTCGTTATATATAAATATATATATATATATGAAAAATATCAATTTTATCATATTAAGAAATGACAATGTTTTTCTTTTCTTTTCCTTTCCTTTCTTTTTTATTAATTACACCACACATCCCAAACTATGACCCAGATTCTAAATTGGTCGTTAAACTTCAAAACATGCTAATTGGATCTTCAAAGTATCAATATCTTATTTATATGTCCTTCCGTCAGCCAAGCAGTTAGTCTTGAAATACGAAAATCATATTCTAAACACTGACGGCTAGGCTGATCCACTGATGGATGGACTAGATTGATATAAAACGGACACTTTGAGGATTTAATTAGAATGTTTTGCAGTTTCGGACCAATTTAGAACTTGGATCATCATTTGGGGACATCCGATGGAATTAACCCTCTCTTTTTCCCCCTCTTTTCAGTTTGTAAGTACCTTCAGTGTAGTGGGTTCAATGAAAACACAGATTTATTCTCCAAATGAGGGAACATACAGGTAAACAACTCAATCTCGTTTTTCTTTTACCTTTATGAATGTGGTGCGTTCCCATTAATGATACACCATCCAGGAAGAAAGATGACAAGCTGAAAGAGTTATTTGATTATCTTGAAAGTATAAGGGAAGAATTTGAATCCATTGAGAGACCGATGTTGGATCTTGAAAATCCAACTCAAACATTAGAGTCACCATCCACCACCAAGTCGCCGATAAGTCCGTGGTCACGATTAAAGTCTTCCTTAAAGAAAGCGGATCACAAGAAACTGAAGTTCGAGTTGGAACAAGACGACGAAGAGAGTCTAGAGGATGAAACAGATGAAATCGTAGAATGGGAATACGATGCATTCGAGAAGGACCTAATACCCAACTAACTAACCAAATATCTGCCTAATTTATCTGGTTTGCATTATGAAGAAGATACCCTTATTGTTTCAAAAGGTTAGAAAAAAAAAGTGTGCAATATTACATTTTACTTAAGCAAAAGCTACCACTAGAGAAACTGATAGTTCACTGTATTTGTAATGTCAAATGTTGTTCAAGCTCTATGATTTAATTTATTGATATATTATTAATCATTGAAAAGTTAAATCAAGCAGACACCCTAATAAAAATGATTTAATTTTAATTTAATCTATCAATTTTAGATAAAATATCAATTTAGTCCCGACGATAACTAAACCAAATAACTACTTGAATTTAGACCTTAAGGCTTTTGATCGTATGACGAGTTATCAACCGACACCGATGGGATGCCATAGTTGGAAGCTCATTCGAAGAAGGGATGCGGAGCAGTAGCAGGTTGATTGACAGATTTGTCATAAGAATGGATGGACAATGGAGATTCAAAGGAGAGACAATGGCTTAGCCCCATAGGGAAAGGCGATGACGACTGAGATTGAAGAAGGAGACCGGTATTAACGTTGGTAGCGGTGGATTGGGACCAAAGCTTGTGCTTCAGCAATGGCGGATAAAGAGGAAAATCGACGAGCTTTTCGATTGTAGAGAAAGAGAGGGGACTAAATTGTTATTTTGTCAAAATATCATATACGACATCAATATGAAACAATAAACAAACCGTTATAACTATATCTATAATCCTTCAACATTTTCCCAACTGACACCAACTATAAAAACGGTTGTTTTAAGTGAAGATTGAACCAAGAAAGAAGATGGAGAGAAGTCTAATCGAGCCATTGATCACTGTTTCATACTCTTCCTTTATCGCGGTTGGATACTACCGAATGAAGTATCTTGATTTGTCCGGAGCTCTCGCCCTATTTCCCGTCTTGGTTATTCACCTCGCTGCTGGATACAGGTCCTTTCTTTCTATTTTCTTCTTCTTTATATTGTTTGGCTTCCAAGAAAGTCGTCATGAAACTGGAATTTCAGGTTCGGTGCAATGTTGCTGGTATTCCTCTTTACTTCGTCGAAGCTTTCCAGATTTGGCTCTGCTTTTGAGGAAGGTGGACATAGAAACTGGTACATTCACAACTCTATTTAAATGAGCTAATTCCAGGAACAATGATTTCAACAATTGAGCTTCAGTATGATGATGGATATATTCAATTGAACTTGAAATTCCCCAATTTCTTCATTTTCAGGATACAAGTTTTGTTCAATGGTGGCGTTGCAGCAGTTCTGTGTGTGGCTATTGGGAACCTGACTGGATGGGAGGGCAAGTGCCTTGACTCAAAAGAGTCGACTCTTGTCACGTCATTAATAGGCGGTTTAATAGGTCATTACTCTTGCCTCAATGGTGATACTTGGTCCTCGGAGATGGGGATTCTCAGCATTGCCCGGCCGAGGTTGATCACCACTTTTAAGGTAGGTATTCCTTCTTCCCAAATCTGGTTTATTTGGATATGGTTATCTAATGTAACAGTACATGATCAGTATGTTCGAAGGGGCACAAACGGAGGTGTGACGGAAAAAGGACTCCTATCAGCATTGTCTGCTGGGACTATCATCGGTTTAACATTTCTTTTCGTCCAAATTTTCACTACAAGCTGTTCAGATGGAAAGGCTATGAAGCAGCTGTTGGTTATACCCCTTTCTGCCATGGCCGGACTTTTTGGAAGTGTTATAGATTCTCTGCTGGGAGCAACCCTTCAATTCAGTGGCTTCTGTGCCGTCCGAAAAAAGGTACTTACGATGCAATGCCGAAGATTTATCGGAGCATAGGCCATCAAAATGGAAAACAATCTCCCTGCAGACCGTGATTTTTTGTTTAATCTCTTTGCAGGTTGTTGGAAAACCTGGACCAACGGTAAGGAAGATTTCTGGGCTCAACTATCTTGAAACAACGCCGTCGACGTCGTCTCGATACTACTGACCACACTGCTGACTTCGATTGCCTGTGTGTTTATTTTCTGAACGCTTCATTCTGTTTCTGCAGTTTAGACAAGTCTAAGAATGTTACAAGGAGAAAATGTATATCCATCCCATGCACATCATGAACTTGATATTTGATGTAATCAAACATACTGGGAAAACAGTTATGTCATTTTGATTGTGCTTCGAGATAAAGATTACCATATTGTTTGACTGCTAAATTTGTGTTACTCTTAAGTTTTTACGTGTCATGTCAACTTAATGTTGATAGTTTAATATTTAATGGAACAAATAAAAATAATAATTAACTATAATAACTCGAATGAGATTTTTAATTTCAATAACCAAATTGAGAGTGACGTGATCCTAAACAAGTTAAAGCCATTTGTTGTACAAAACCTAGCAGCAGAAAACTACAAGAACAAAACACCATTGGCCAAGTTAAAGCCAACCCTACCGGAAAGTAGCCGCCTCCGTTTAACTTTTTCTTTGTTCCCACTCTCTCCTTCATTCCCTCGACTCTTCTTCTAGCCTCTCAAAATCCCAGCTGAAAGACCAAAGATAACTAACATGGCTGACACTGCTTCCATAGCTACCCTATGAAGTCGATGAATGCCGAGGAGTCCTTCGTGTTTACAGCGACGATTCCATTTGGCGTTCTTATAAGCCAAGCTTCAACGTTCCCGTCGACGATGATGGCTCCGTCGTGTGGAAAGATGTCGTATTTGATCCTCAGCCCGATCTTCAGCTTAGGCTCTATAAGCCAGCTTCCCCTTCATCTTCTATACTCCCCATCTTTTATTATATCCATGGTGGTGGTTTTTGTATTGGGTCACGTGCCTGGCCTAACTGTCAAAACTACTGCTTGCGGCTTGATTTGGAGCTTCAAGCTGTTGTGATTTCGCCGGATTATCGCTTGGCTCCGGAGAACAGGCTCCTGACAGCCATTGAGGATGGTTTCACGGCAATGAAATGGCTCCAAACTCAAGCTCTGGCTGAGAATCCTGAACCGAGGTTAACTGCTGTAGCGGATTTTAGCAAGGTGTTCATATCCGGTGACTCAGCAACATCGATCATAACTTAGCGGTCCAGATAGGGCCTGGTTCACAACTTCACATGATTTGGCCCCGGTTCTGGTCCGAGGTTACGTGGTTTTAGCACCTTTCTTTGGCGGGACAGTGCTAACCACGTCGGAAGCTGAGGGTCCAAAAGACGCCTTCCTTAATTTGGAGCTCATCAACAGGTTTTGGAGGTTATCTGTGCCGATCGGAGAAACGACCGATCACCCGCTGATAAACCCTTTCGGGCCGGTCAGTCGCAGTCTTGAACACTTGTCTCTAGACCCTGTTCTTGTGGTGGTTGGTGGAAGTGATTTGTTGAAAGATAAGAGGAAAGGATTATGCTGAGAGGTTGAAGAAGATGGGGAAGAAGATAGAGTATTCTGAATTTGAGGACAACAACATGGCTTCTTTACTATTAATCCAAACTCCGTACCATCCAAAGCTTTGATGGAAGTTATCAAACGATTCGTAGCTGAAAATTCAAGCTGAGAAGTGGACGTTTGTGAGAGGAAAATGCTTCTTTCTTTCTTCTTGTGTTAGTAATTGTCATTTTAGCTTAGTTAATGCTTTACATGAAGTAATATCGCATTGAGTGAATGAAAATCATGCAACTTTGAATCCTAATGAATCACCAAACTATGGCGAAATTCAAGAAAACAACATCCAACAGTAAGAGCAGCAAGGATTATATATAGGGTAAACTACATATTTTTGTCACTTTCGAGTTTTTTTTATAAACATATGGTCATTAGATTTTAAAACATAATACACGATCACTTTTGTTTTATTTTAATTAAGATATGGTTACTAAAATGTTAAATTCCGTTGGTTTGATGACGTGTCACGTTAGTAAAAGGGTTTAATTTTTATTTTAACCACTAAACTTTAGATAAAATTCTAATTATGGACTATTTTATAAATTTAAAGTAATTTAGGGATAAAGTTCTAATTTATCTAATTTTTAATATACTTTTCTTCCTCCCTAGCTTCCCACTTGCTGCGATTGCTGTTGGAACGAGTGGTCATGGTGGTCTGGGAAAGCTTTCTATTAGGGGAAGCAGCTCGTCTTCACGTGGAGTAACCAACTTTGGGTTATCCACATAGCTCGTGGTTGCCTTCGTTGTTTCTTGTCTTTGTTTATGATCATCTTCCATGGCCGTGCACACGGAAAGAAGTGGGATATGGCAGAAGTAAAATAAGAGTGATTATGTAAGAAAAGAAGGGCAAGGAATATGGTTCAGAGAAGTGAGAGTTGGAGAACATGAAGAGTGAGATGAACATAATATAATTGTTGAATGGAGTGCTGCTTGAGCTTGACTGTACATGGGGGACTGTATGGGCTGGGAAACTGAAGAGATAAGCATGGGGGTGAGGGAAGTATTTTCCAATATGTTTCTGCATGCTGAGACCAAGTATGGTATTGGTGGGAATAAATGTTTTTGGATAGGAAAAATCATAATCTTTCTCCTCTTCAACACCATTTCACCCCTCAGACTCTCTATTATTAGAATTGGATTAAATTAGTACATTTATTATTTTATAAAATCAAATTATTGTTACATGAAAAATGTATGAAATTTAGATGCAAATTACAAAGAATCGGAGAAGAGATCTCATTGAAGACGAGAAAGTCTTGCAGTTGAAGGAGAAGAAACGTTAAAAGAAGCCATTAGAAGCTACAAATGTAATGGGAGGGAATTTGATATTGGGATTTGAAATTTCTTTTTTGGCTGCATTTTTGTGTTTATATGTATACATATTTATAGTCTCAGATGGGAAGGAAGCAAAATGAAAGAAGCAAAGGTAATTCTCAAAGCGACGGCAAATAGTTGTTTTATTTCAGACGATGAACTGGTAGCTTTTGCCAAATCTGCAGGTTCAAGGTAGCACTGTTTCCAGATAGCTGGAGGAAGGGGTGTGCGGCGGCGGGGAGAATAAAAGTATATTAAAAAAAGGGTAAATTAGAACTTTGTTCCTAAATTACTTTAAATTATAAAGTGGTCCCTAATTAGTATTTTATCTAAAGTTCAGAGGTTAAAGTAAAAATTATACCTTTTTACTAACGTGTCATGCCATCAAACTAACGGAAGTCAACGTTTCAGTTATCACACCTTAATTAAAATAAAACAAAAGTGATTATATATTACGTTTTTTTAATCCAGTTACCAAAGTTTATAAAACTCAAATAAAAGTGACCAAATCTGTAGTTTACCCTTATATTTATGCACTTTTTCTCTTCTGTTCCAGCCTACTCGAGTGATTGACAAACAACTGGTCATGCAGCTGGTGGTTTTACAGGAAGAATCATGTTGGCAGCTGCAGGCCTGAAACTAGCAGCAGTTTCCATAGCAAATTTTCAACTAACAAGACAACTATGAACTATACAATAAGGATGAAAATACCAACGCAGAAATGTCATCACCAAGCACATAAGTTTAGCTAAAAAATTGACCCAAAACGACCAATAAACCAACGAATCATATTTCAGTTAGGCCAAAGAATAATAAACATTAAAAGAAACCTGCACTTGTTGAGCTGTTAAAGATGGAAGACAATGAAAAAACAATTGGGTTAGTGATTATTGATGGTGATCGGAACACTTGTGATGGAAGCTCTCTGCTGTCGCATATTTCAGAGTTGAGGCAACGTAATTGGTCCTTGTATTTCCATCATGTTCCTAGGTATGTGAATCGAGTTGCTGATGCTGTTGCTAAATTGGCCTCCGGGATTGGTCTTGTAGTTCTTTATATGCTCAGCCCCCCCGATTGGTAGCCGATCTTGCAAGCTAACCTCACCGATCCAGTTTAGTGTTGTGTTTTGTTTTTGTTGGTTTATCTCGTTGTGCTCCCTTGATTTTTGCTTCTTCTTTTTTTTTTGTATTACCAGTTGTACTCTCTATGTATAGAAAATCATATAATAAAGGAAAATTGTATCTTGTCTTTTAATTTTAGAATAGAAGAGAGAGTATTTGATTGAGCGTGTCAGGTGCTGCTTTTCTGTTATGTTACATTTTTATTGATAGAACAAGATCGTTATATTAGTTGTGGGTGGCTCACTTTTTTAATTTGAAGAGAGAGTTATAACTAATGATAAAACGGTCGTTAATTGGTGATATTAATGATAAAGATATGTAGAAGAGAGTTCCCAGATCGAGAGTATAGTCCTCTATTTTAATTTCTTAGAAGTTTATATATTAATTCTTTGTACTTAAAGGTGTCAAACCTATAATCATGATTGTTATCCGTATATAAATAAAATGTGTAAATACAACCGTTAATCATTAATTTAAGTCTTACGAGATATTTCATGTTTGTCAATTATCTTGTCAAAGTGTAATGGTGACTCAAAAGATTCAAATAATTTCAAAAAAACGATTCTTAATTCAGTCTGAGTTGAATTTAAATCGATTAAATACCTTATACCTTAATAAAGAAATAGAAATTAAAATTTTAAAATAGGGATAAAGCTGTTAATCAACTAATCGGATTACTAAAATTGCTGTAAATTAGGGGTGTTATTACTATATCAACGTGCCATAATGAGGGAAGAACCATATTAATTTACCATAAATTAGTGATATTATTAACAGGAAGATATTGTAGAAATAAGAAAAGTCAACAATTATATATATATTCTGAAGGCAATAATCACATCAAATTTGTCAAAGTCTAGAAACATAAAACATTAACACATGAAGTTAAATCTATTATGATATTATTTAGGGTAAAGTATAGTAATGGTCACTGAACTTTTCTTAAGCTTTCATTTAGGTCCCCTCAACTTTTAAAACTTGCAATATGGTCCCCCAACATTTAATTCATTTGCAATATGGTCCCCAACAGTTACGTCGGGGACCATATTACAAACGGACTAAATGTTGGAGGACCATATTACAAACGGACTAAATGTTGGGACCATATTGCAAACAGATTAAATGCTG